GAGAAATACCATCGATGCAACAGGTGTCATGAGATCTAAGCAGCTCACATATGACTTGTTTACGTCTGAGGCTAAAATTAATAGTCTGACAGTTAGAAGGGTTTAACTTGAGACTATTTGAGAGAGACTATTGGTCAATAACACACAAGAATCCACCTAATTCAGAGCAATCTAAGTAAGAGTTGACTGGAATAGACACCGTCAGGTCATAAGCCTACCTAATAACAGAATAAGGTGAATCGTGCAAAAAGAAGGGAAGCAGAAAAGGAGAATGTACAGCACCTTAAGGCACACCAGCTTCAGTATGCAATGAAGAAAGTCGAACACTTCCCTTTATGGACAGTACAGTGTTTCCATTCACTTAGTCGAGACTAGAAACAATATTATGATGCAAGGTAATGGTAGCATGTAAGGTACTTCTCCTGTGTTTGTAAGCAAACTGTTTGAATTTCTTAAAGCCATCAATGAAAGCTCAATCACAAGAAGAAGTAATTTCTTCATTGTCTTCAAAAAAGAGGAAGTTACAGTGATGAGTCGAAACGTAACGTCTAATCTAGAAGATTATTTACGATGAACTCTGAGTCCTATTCGTTTCTAGAGTATTCTGATTGAACTGGTAGACATGTTTTTGTGATGAGTGACAAAGTGACAAGTTTCACTTACCACTACAACTGGCTGGATTTGATTATTATTATTATTTTGTCTCTTGGGTTCCTTGTGGGACATAAGAGTTCAGTAGCACATCGCCATTTCACTCCGCAGTTCTCTGCACTTTTCTGAACTTGGCTCCACGACTGCCCATAACCTTTCACTTCTTCTTCACACGATCCCCTCCATGTCACTCTCAGACGATCAACTCGTCGTTTCCCATTCGGGTTCCACTCGATGGGCCTGACCTGATGTGTCATGTTCCCAAACGGTCTTCTTAAATGTATGTCCAATCTAATCTAATCTATCTTCATTTTCTTCTGCATGTTTGTTGGGCAACAAGGTTGTTGGTTGGCTCGTTGCCAGTTAGCCAGTGTTCCTTCTTATGATTCTAGTCATGTGATCTGCTCTTCAGTATCGAGTGAGCGTAGGCGGCAGTGGTTGGTGTTATGTCTATCTATAGTTTGTTGGAAATGCTTTTTGTAACGTGCTAAATCTTATCTAGTTGAATAATATTGAACAATTGAATGAAATTTGTTTATCTAAGGAAGGTAAATACCGTTTTTTTTTAAAAATTATACTTTATTCATATAACCTATATAATATGAAACTTATTGGAATTTCTTCTGTTTTGGGTACTTTATCTTAAGTAATCTATAGCATAGACTTTGATACGGTATATTATAATCATTAATACCTCTGTTATTATTTTATCAATCGTGATTTGAAGCAAATTTTCAACTGATCAATAAGTTACACTCTTGAAAAGTTCATAAAATGTAAATGTTTTCATTTCATTTTCTATATATATAATTTTGTTTGTTTTATAGTGTAAACTTTAATTATCTGAAATATGTATATATATTTTCATTGTCTAATATGTATTACATATCATATTAGTGCTATTTTTTTTTAAGTATATTATTTTTATTGCATACTACTCTGTATATTCAGTTGCCATGGCGTTTTATTCCATCCATTTTAGGTAGTAACTTTAACGATCACCCTAGCAACTGATCATTTATTTGTATCCTGGTTGCTAAATGCCTTCTGGTGAGATTATCCAATTATCTGTCAAAAAAGGGGGGAGAAGAAGTAGTATTGCTCGCGTTTAAGTTGAATCATTGTATGTGCAGTATTGAAGTATATCAGGTGAATGGGTACTATATGTATACCGAACCACCGCTAAACTTGATCTGCCATACTGGGGAAAAGTTGGATTAGGTTCGAAGAGAGTTGAGGGTGATATCAGTTTATTCATCTATCCAAATCAACCTAGGACTAGGCATTACTGCGTAACGGTCTGAGTTGTCACACCTCATATCAGCACATCAAGTAAAGTACTCGAAGAGAGAAAGGAGGAATGGGAAAGTGGTGAGATTCGGTATAGCGTTGTTAAGATGAGGATAATGTGTGTATGGGGATACATCTGTGCCACTGACATCGATTCTGAGCCATGTGATCACCAAGAATAGTCTCTAACCACTGGTTCCTCTTATCCCGCGAACTCCAACTGGGCTAGACTGCGTTGCCCTACATGACTCAACCCAACAGTCTGAGACTGCATACATTGATATCATGTTTTAGTCTGGCCTCCATCAGCCTTTTTTCACACTGAACCTACTTTGGCGAAGATTGTGTGGTGAGGCAATGAGTCACTTCATATAGGTAACACGTCAATTGACTTACCTTTTCGTAACTCTCTAAAACTCTACGCCTGACTTGTGCGTTACTCACATGGTGACACCACGGAATATGGTGTATACTTTGAGGGCAATGGTGGTCAAACACTTGAAACCTTCTCATTTCTTCCACCTTGAATATCCATGTTTCACAGCCATAGAGTATAGCCGAGCGGACTGTTGTGCAGTACACGCGACCCTAATCGACAATCGGGTATCGCTCTGGTGCCACAGATGGCGTAAGTTGGCGAAGATTGGTGACAATGCTTCAAACGTATTCACTTCTTAACGTCTGCTGAATTTCATAACTTTATGTACTTTAATGTCATTAATTAATTTGTTTTTCTGTGTGAGAGTTGTTCGATAGTTGAATGAATTAACCACTGAAATGGTATCATAGATAGTTGAATTGATATGTTTATACTTTCAGCATTGTTGATAATCATGTAATCCTTGAGTTATCTTTCCAACCGTACAACTATTCAATGGTAGGTAGTCAGACTGATTGTGAGCTTGTAATACAAACTCTGGTTTTTATTGCAGTTGAACAAATGTGTATAGGATGGTTAATATAGGGAAAGGATGTCTTTTATCAATTTGTTTAGTTATCCGACATGCAACTGAATTACTCTTATCACTTCCACCAGACAATATCGACGCATTCTTATAGGAGCTCATTTGCCAACAGACGTTGGACAATTCTATCCAGTATATCATTGATGAATTGGAAGTATATCGACAAATAATGATAATAATAACCAATACCCGTTGTACAAGCGGTGAGTATCATGCCCCAGTAGCTTAGTGGATAACGTTTTGGTGTTTGAATCGATGAGTACAAGGTTTGAGTCTCAATGGAAACCATCATTTCATACTTAGGTTTAGGTACATCCAACTGGCAAGTCTCACGTAGGACGAAACATGCGTCCTATTCACTCCTCATGCTCATGTGTGTACATTAACGCTTTAAAGAAAAATCTAACTCAACACAAAACCGTTTATATTGTAGGCACTGAGAAGTTCTCAACACAATAATAATAATAATTGTGTAGTATAGTAACGGTGTAGTGGAGTAATAGTGCAGTAATATTGTAGCCCAGTCATAGTATAGGAATGGCATAGTAATGGTATAGTAAATTATAGCCGTAGTAGTATGGCACAGTATAGTCATACTATAGTGCAGTACAGTGTTGTAAGAGTATAGTATGATAAAAGTATAGTACAGTGGAGAATGGTCATAGTTTCGCAACAATGTAGTAAATATTATAGTATGATATTCTAGTAGTATGGTGACAGGATGCTAAAATAATAGTGTGGCGCACCGTAGGAGTACTATAGTACATTACTAGTGTAGTGTGGTGACAGTACGATAGTGGTTTTTGGTACAGTACTAATATAATAATAGACAGAAGTGATGAAGATACCCAACCAACAACAACAAACACCAATGACCATCAAGGGGGAAACTTAATGGAAGTAGCCTCTTCCACCTATCTAGGCAGCACTGTTTCAACTACTGGCGGCACAGACGAGGACGTCAAAGCCAGCCAGGATCTGAATGACAGCAAAACAGGCGTTGATTAACCTGAAACCAGTGTGGAGATCTTCTGCACTACACTCAGGATAAAGCTCAGATGGCTAGAAAGAATAAGCAACAAGAAACTCTGGCTGGTTGGCAACGAACCAACCAAGAACCTATCACTCAACAAATAGGGAGGAAGAAATGGCGATGGATTGGGCATGCACTGAGAAGGCCAACTGGGGACATCACGTCCAGGTCAGGCACTCGAGTGGAACTCAGATGGGAAACGGCGAGTTGGGCTTCCGAGGTGAGAGTGAGATGGAGGAGATGGTGTGAGGAAGAAGTGAGAGCTGTCGTGGAGCTAGGTTGAAAAGATTGCAGAGAAGAGAGTGGAATAGAGACGTGCTACTGAAGGTGTATATTCCACTAGGAACCCAAGGGACAAATAATAGTAATAATAATTGTAAGGGTATAGTTTAGTATAGGTATAGTAATAGTGTAGGAATACTACAGTAACAGTAAAGTACATTGATATTGTGGTGTAGTATAGTAGCAGTATAGTTTAGTATGCTGGTAGTATGGCATCATGTGAGTTTAGTATAGTAGAGTATAGTAATGGTTTATTGTAGTTATAGCATCGTAGCAGTATAGTACAGTAATGGTATGGTATAGTATGCTGACATTTTAGTATAGTAATGGTATAATATGGTAATGATGTAGGATAGTATAGTTTAGTATCCCAATAGTGTAGTAACAGTATCCTATAGAAATACTATAGCATTGTAGAGCATACTACATTAATAGTATAGCATAGTAACAGTAGAATACATCCTAGTATAGTATGATGTCCTAGTAAATGAAAAAAACAATGATTAAGTAAGAATATGAATAAAAGTCAGTTTAATCCTCAGAGAAAGAGAAACAATCACGTTCAAAATGTTTCCATCACGTTTATTTCATTGTTCACATGTAGAACGAAGAGGAGACACAGGGAATGACAATAATTCATAGTCATTATGGTTTTCTATCCTTTGTTTTTATGTAATATTGTCTAATTCACATCATCTTCATGTATATTCTAGTTTTCTAGTGAATTATTCATTATTTCTTAGTATTTCAATCCTATTTTTCTTTGTTAAACTTTATAGCTTCGTATACTGGATCTAGTTCAGATGATGATGAAGTTGAAAGTCAACAACGTGAAAATCCAAGAGAACGTTATATGAAACCAGGATTAAGAGCTGTAAGCATAAGTTTACACTTATTTTCTTCTCTAATTTATCCAATAGATTTCGTCCATATCTGTACACATCAGTAACAGTATAATATTGTTCATATTTAACCGATTATGCTATAAGGAGTAAACGATCAATATTATTTTCAATGAGAACCTCTTTATGTTTTCACTGAAGCCTATGGCTTTATAGTCTGCATAAAATTCATAAACGTGGACTTCCTCTTCGTTTACACTGAGATATATATATATATCGCTTACCATATCATAGAATCGCAAAATAGTTTGTCCTAAATCTTAGGACCATAGTTATAAAGCATGTTTTCGATTTCATCTCCAAGGTGACAAAGATAAATGTGATTGGGAAAAGTATGATATCGTTAAATGGATGGATGGTCATTATTCATAATGTACAACTTACTGAGACAGTATTCATTTCATATGTCAATAATTGATAGAAAAACCTTAGGGATTACTTCTTAAATGTACATTGAATGTAAACTTTGTTTTCAATGATGCATGTTATAGACAAGTGTCTTGGTGGGTTTGGCTTCAGGCCAAGTCCTTTGCAGACTTCCTTCTGACGAAACTACAGAAATAGACCATTGAAGGATGGCTATCAACAAGCTAGGCATGTTTTACAGATGCGTGAATGACACTTTTATTATCATTGATCAGAATGTGAATAAGAACCAACTATTGAAAACATACAGTCTTCACTTGACTTCACTTGTGTAGAAGAATGTGACAAGTAGCTAAACATCCTTAATGTTCTACTAAATAGGTGAGGAGGGGGAAAAGACCTGAAGCAGCAACCATTGAAACGAAATCACTTTCCTTATTTGTTGGAAGGATATACTTATTGACATTCTATTCCACAGACTGTTGAGTAGCATTCAAAGAACTTTGTATTCAGCTAATATGAGTCTATCGTTTCCTAGTCGACGATTTATCTGCTGTCAAACGAGTGACAAGTCACCTTAGTTTTATCAGTTCCATGTTTTATTTACCAGTGTGACTACTCGTGTGGAGACAGACAACTTAACCAATGTATTATTGAATTGCATAACTTCATGGTAGGGAAGAGGACAGGTGAAATCTTTAAGAAGCTCTATTTTGTTGCAGCTAGATAAAACGGAAGCGTTCAATGTGATTTAGAGCATACAAATGAACCTTCCTGGTGGAGTTTGAATCCGCCTTTTACACATAACTGAAGGTATATGAACTCGAATGAACAATACGAAGTTTTGTATCCAGCAGAAATGTGTACAGCCTTTATCTCTGCCTTGGCTAGACGAAACTTAATGAATGACCTTATTTATGAGTTTTAAAATGTACTTCTCCTTTTTATTTCATCATCCCCTTTCACATTAAGACTTTATTTACTCATCACCTCCATCCTGTAGTATTACGTAACAGTATTGATCCTTTCCAATCTTTAATTTGTAACAAAGTATGGTACATTGTTTGATGTCACACAAACTTGAAGATCTACAGGCGAAAACTAACAAGTTGACAGAAGAGGCAGCGAAGACGGGACTTCAAGTGAATATTGAGAAGACAGAGGTGATGAAGATACCGCACCACCACCATCAACAGTAACAACAAACTCCAGTCACCATCAACGAGAGAAACTTAAAGGAAGTAACCTCCTTCACCTATCTAGGAAGCACTGTTTTAACTACAGGCGGGACAGACGAGGATATCAAAGCCAGAATCAGAAAAGCAAGACAGGCATTCATTAACCTGAAACCAGTGTGGAGATCTTCTGCACTACACTGCACTCAGCATAAAGCGTGAACAACATCCGGATTTTCAACACCAATCCAGTCAAGTCAGTGCTCCTATGTGGTGGTTCAGAGACTGCGCGTTACGAAAGGCATTTCCAACAAACTACAAACATTCATCAACAACTGGTTACGCTCGTTACTGAAGATCAGATGGCCAGAATAATAAGAATAAGCAACAAGGAACTCTGGGAACGAACCAACGAAGCAAGAACCTATCACCCAACAATATGCAGTGGAAGCAAGTGGAGATGGATTGGGCATACACTGAGAAGGCCGACTGAAGACATCACGCGTCAGGCCAGTTGCTCGAGTGGAATCCCCATGGGAAGCAAAGAGTTGGGCGTCCCAGCTGAGGGTGACATGGAGGAGATCGTGTGAGGAGGAAATGAGAGCTTCTGGGCTGTCGTGGAACCAGGTTCAAAAGATCTCAGAGAACAGAGTTCAATGGAGACGTGCTGCTGAAGCCCTATGTTCCACTAGGAACCCAAGGGACTAATAATAAAATATAATAATGGTACATTGTTATTTACTTGATGAAGACGTTTCGAGAATATATATATTATCGTCACTCATTACTATATTAGTGTAATCACACTACTTTCGAAATTTTCATCATTTCTCTTACATGCATTAGGTGTTGACTGATTCGATGAAGAAAGATTCAGTAACCAATCTCTCTTAAAGTTCACCTAATCATATTGGACTTGAGTACAGTTGTCCTATCCCACCCATCCTATTATGTGTGGTTGTGTATGTTAATGTATACATTGCAAGTAGTAGGGTTCTTTTCTAGATTATTGATCTTATTGGGGTTTACCATTCTATATTCGGCTAATCTAACTGACCCCGACCGACTAGTTCCACCTATCTACTTAACTCACAGTCATTACATGAAATTCGATAGATTAGATTATTTTGCCTAATTGGTTCTATTGGATCCTTAAGCCAGCCGATAAATTTTATCTCTGAGTGAGTTTGTAGGTTTAAATGCCACTCTAATTCCAGGTCTGTTGAGGATTCTACGTAAAGTTTCTGAGGTATCCTCCTTATAGGGTAATACAATAGAGGCTGCGAACTCCTTTCTACTTGTGTTGTCGTTATTATTCGTACTCATGTTACATTTGTTTTTTCTTCTCTTGTGTGTTTGTACGAATTCTTTGATAAACTGCGGAGAATAATCATTAAGTATTACCTTTTCTCTTATGTGCTTCAGTTCTTTGTTTAGATTCTTTCACTGAGTACTCAGTTTTCTAGCTGTATCATTTAGACGTTTGACTAAACCATAACTGACATTACATGAGATGACTTGAAGTCTAGATACCTTTCGAAACGTGTGCAGAATGACGACAGCATCAGTAGAAGGGAGTTCACAGTCAACATTGTGTTACCCTATAAGGAAGGGATATCAGAAACTTTATGTAGGATTCTCAACGAAGCTGGAATGCGAGTGACATTTAAATCTATAAACTCACTCAGAGATAAGCTTCATCACTTGCCTTAAGGGAGTCAGCTATCGATAGTTCTGTGTGATAACATTGTAATTTATGCTGGGAACGTCATCAAGTAAATAATAATGTATCAATCATCATTGCATGGGATAAAGAATAGACTTCTGAGATATAAGTATTATACATGAATCCTAATTATGGTGATGAAGATACCCGACCAACGCCACCACCATTAACAACAAGCACCAATCACCATTAACGGGAGAAACCTGAAAGAAGTTGTCTCTTTCACCCTATCTAGGCAGCGTCGTTTCAACTACAGGCAGCACAGATGAGGACGTCAAAGCCAGCCAGGATCGGAAACACAGCAAGACAGGCGTTGTTTAACCTGAGACCAGTGTGGAGATCTTCTGCACTACACTGCACTCAGCATAAAGCGTGAACAACATCCGGATTTTCAACACCGATCCAGTCAAGTCAGTGCTCCTATGTGATGGTTGAGAGACTTGGCGCTTTACAAAAAGCATTTCCAACAAACTACAGATATTCATCAACAACTGCCTTGGCTGGCTCCATACTGAAGCTCAGATGGAAGGCCAGAAAGAATAAGCAACAAGGAAGTCTGGCTGGTTGGCAACGAACCAACCAAGATCCTATTACCCAACAAATATGGATTGGGCATGCACTGAGAAGACCATTCAGGGACATCATGCCCCAGGTCAGGCACTCGAGTAGAACCCAGATGGGAAACGTCGGGTTGGGCTTCCGAGGTGAGGGTGACATGGGGGAGATGGTATGACGAAGAAATGAGAGCTTGTGGGCAGTCGTGGAGCTAGGTTGAAAAGATTGCAGAGAGGAGAGTGGAATAGAGACGTGCTACTGAAGGTGGTATGTTCCACTAGGAACCCAAGAGACAAATAATAACAATCAATTAATTATGGTAAATAACTCAATACTTGTAGCTTACTCACAAGTGGTCAGTAGTGGAATACACGACACAAGTTTCGTTTCAAAAAATCATTCAGTAATAAGTAGCTAGCTACATCCAACTGATGAGCCCGGGATAGGACGAAACGCGCATGCTAGATTCTACTACTAGTTACTATAAATCATGAGTATATACAATGAAAATCTCAACATTATCGAAGCTTTCACTCTGAAGTTCGTTCATATGGTAATAGTGCACGATCAACTTGGTTCAATCACCAAGCTATTTAATTACATGGAAATAATAAATTATAGTTATGAAAATGTTTTTCTTTCTTTCTTTCTTTCTTTTTTTTGTAAACTATTAGGTTAACTCTAGAGGATTTAATGATTTTTGTGTTCAAAAAATTCGTCAAGCATCATTTGGTAGAAGAGAGATTGAAATAGCTGAACAAGGTAAATAAACCATTATAGTTAATTGTTTCATTGAATAATTTTTTTTTAAATGAGCGCCATACGAATTGTTGTTGTTTAAACTTATTACTTTTCAAAAAAGAACAAAACTTTTTTTCTCCATCTGCTCTTTATCGTGAAAATTGTAATTCAGTGTTTAAAAGTGGGATCTATCGAACTGTGTTCTTGTCACTTATCATATAAGTGATAAGACTGTGAATTATAATTGTATGAAAGGTTACAATGACTTGGTCTAGTGTCTGCAACTGTAGTAATGGGTTTTTTTTATAGAGTATATGATGTGATGACGACTCATTTTGTTGCTTAACAAGTGAAAAAGAAACAGTACTATTAGTCACCAGGCTAGGAGAGACTTTAATAGGTCTATCGTGGTCTGAATAACTTGGTACTACTAATGTCTATAACTTGAGCACTATAATGGTGTAGGTTCAAATCTCATTTCTGTCAAGGTTATATAGATACACCTTTCTAACGAGTATGAACATCAGCACGAAACCTTAGCGAAACCTATGATAGAGTCTATGACTGAGTGAACATAGTCTAGTGCATAACTATTCGCTAATTAAAGTAATGGACTCTTGGTTCGAGCCTCAATGAGAGAAGAAAAACATACTCCGTTGCAGGTAGATACATCTAACTAATGACTTCAAAATAGAATGAAATGTACTTTTTCATTCATTGAGAAATATAAATACCGAAATCTTTTAAAAGTGCATCTAAACGAAAATCTATGATGTGTATTAGATACGTAACTTAACGACTAGAGTAGGGTTCGAACCCCTGACCAAGCAGTTCAATGTAGTGAGTCTAGACCTAGGACTCCCAGTTGATATTGATTCGCTCAGGAGCCCATATACCAATAGACTCCGGTTAATTCAGTCCAATCAACCGCACTACAACACAAGCAATACCAATAAAACTATACTCGTCCCACAATAAGTGGCTATCATCACTCAATGGTCTTGTGGATAACACCCTGGAGTTTGAAGCGATCGGTCTCCAGTTCGAATCTCGGTGGGAAGAATATCATTCACTAGGAGAATGGTACATTCACCTGACGAGTCCGAAATAGAACGAAATGTGCATCCTGGATTCCACTGCTAACCACTATCCATCATTACAATATTGATTCAATCGGGAACAATTTTACTCAAAATATAATTTCTCTCTGATTTTTGTCTTCTACAAATTGATCATCAGTCGTGGAATATATTTCGTGTCTATCAATCTTGTTTTGTGTCAATCTTTTAACGTCAACAAATTGTATTTTTATCAGGCCTATTACTCATCTAATCACACTTGGTTGACTAACATTATCCTTTTGCTTTAGCTGCTGATGATGAGTCAAACTTACACCTCAGTCTTCTTATTCGGTTGCTTATTACTATTATTAGTCCCTTAGGTTCCTAATGGAACATAGGGCTTCAGCAGCACGTCTCCATTGAACTCTGTTCTCTGAAGTCTTTTGAACCTGGCTCCATGACAACGCAGAAGCTCTCATTTCCTCCTCGCACGATCTCCTCCATGTCACCCTCAGCTGGGACGCCCAACTCTTTGCTTCCCATGGAGTTTCCACTCGAGCAACTGGCCTGACGCGTGATGTCTTCAGTCGGCCTTCTCAGTGTATGCCCAATCCATCTCCACTTGCTTCCACTGCATATTTGTTGGGTGATAGGTTCTTGCTTCGTTGGTTCGTTCCCAGAGTTCCTTGTTGCTTATTCTTATTATTCTGGCCATCTGATCTTCAGTAACGAGCGTAACCAGTTGTTGATGAATGTTTGTAGTTTGTTGGAAATGCCTTTCGTAACGCGCAAAGTCTCTGAACCACCACATAGGAGCACTGACTTGACTGGATTGGTGTTGAAAATCCGGATGTTGTTCACGCCTTTATGCTGAGTGCAGTGTAGTGCAGAAGATCTCCACACTGGTTTCAGGCTAATGAACGACTGCCTTGCTTTTCCGATTCGGACTTTGACGTCCTCATCTGTGCTGCCTGTAGTTGAAACGATGCTTCCTAGATAGGTGAAAGAGGTTACTTCCTCTAAATATCACATGTTAATGGTGATTGGAGTTTGTTGTTGTTGGTGCGGTGTCTTCATTACCTCTGTCTTCTCTACGTTCACTTGAAGTCCCGTCTTCCTTCGCTTCCCTGCCTCTTCTGTCAGCTTGTTAGTTTTCGCCTGTAGATCTTTAATTTTGTGTGACATCAAACATAGGTCATCACTGGCGAAATCCAAACCTTCTAGGATCTTTTCCCCGGTCCAGCGAGCTTATCCCCCTCTTCTCTCTCCTCGCTATTTGTTGCATGATCCAGTCCACTACAATCAGGAATATCATGGGTGATAGTAGGTGGAGCCTTGTATCACTCCTGTCTTCACTTCAAAGGCATCACTGAGCTTCGCATTGTGAATTAGTTGGCATGTGGCTTCTTCATATAGTTGTGGAGTGAGATTGATAATGGTTTGCAGTATTCCGTAGCGTTGAAGTAGCAGCTTTCAAATTACTTTTGTCGACGCTGTCAAAGGTTTTTTCAAAGTGGATGAAGTTTAGGTAGAGGGTTGACTGCCGTTTTATACTCTGTTCTATCATAATGTGAAGCGTTGCAATTTGGTCCGCATATGATTTGTTCTTGCTGAAGACAGCCAGCAAACTGTTCCGATCGTAGTTTTGAATCCAGTGCATCCTTTAGCCTCTTCAGGATGATGTGGCCTAATATTTTGCTTGCTTTGGGTGGACAGGAGAGTGATTCCTCGCGAGTTCTTGCAAACACTGAGGTCTCCCTTCTTCGGGAGTTTGAGAAGGTAACCCTTCTTCCAATCACTAGGTACCTTCTCTTCCTTCCACACCTTCTGCAATAGTGGTGTGAGCATCTCTGCTGTTGTCTCTGCGTCTGTTTTCAGTGCTTCTGGTGGGATCCCACCTGGTCCTGCTGCTTTTCCACATTTCAGTAGCTTTATGGCGTTCAGGACTTCGACTTTTGATGGAGGATTTATGTTCACTTGTAGTTCTGTGGTTGGGCTGTAGGTGGTATTTCTGGACAAAGTGCAGGTGGTGTTGGTGGTCGATTCAAGAGCTTCTTGAAGTGGTCGGCTCATTGTTTCCTTTTTTTCTCTTCTTTCGTAATTAAATTTCCGTCATCACCTTTTATTGGTTTCGTATGCTTTGATCTCTTCCCTGATAGCAACCTGGTTATTTCAAACAATGTTGTCAGGTCTCTCTTACCTGCAGCCTGTTCTGCTTCACTTGCCACTGTTTCGTAGAAGTGTCCTTTGTCTTTCTGTCCTTTTTCTTCACTTCTTTGTCCAGTGTAGTGTTTTATACATTGTACTCAGTTCCTCTTGTCGTTGAGCATCCATGCACTGGTTTATCTTCTGCTTCACCATCCTCCTCTCCTCTATCAGCTTCCAGGTATTCGTTGAGATCCATTCCTTATCTTCTTTCTTCTTCCTTCCTAATATGACTGTGCAGGTTTCTTTCCACATCTCTTTCAAAGACTTCCAGTGTTCTTCCACACAGGTTTCTTCAGGGATGTTGCTCGATATCTCCTATTTTGTCTTGATGGCTGCCGTGAAGATCCCCTTTGTAGTTTCGTCCTTCAGTTTCCGAGTGTTGTACTCGAACTGCGGTCTATCACCAGCCACCTTGAAGGCTTTTAACTTGATTTGGAGGGTTCCTTGCACTAGACAATGAATGGTGTGAACCTACATCTGCTCCTCTTCTTGACCTTGTGTTAAGTAGACTGCGTCTCCACTTTCTTGAGATTGAGATAAAGTCGATTTGATTTTTAGTGTGTCCATCTGGTGAAATCCATGTCGCTTTGTGGATATCTTTGTGCCTGAACACACTGCCTCCAATCACCAAATCGTTGAATGCGCAGAATTCTGCAAACAATTCTCCATTCTCATTCATTTCACCGAGCGCCTCTCGACCCATGGTTAGTTCTCTTCCCGTGTTGTCCCCTCCCAGTTTGGCATTCATGTCGCCCATCAGAATTTTGATATCGCCAACTGAGGTCTTGTCCAGTGTTGATTGAAGTTGTCTTTAGAATTCCTCCTTTTTCTCTTGCTCTGCATTATTTGTAGGTGCATAGCATTGTATTATTATGACCATCCTTCCTTTTGAGTTGAATCTTGCTGTCATGATCCTGAATCTGGAGGAGATTGGTTCCCATTGCATGAGAGCCTTCGATGCTCTTGAGGACATCATGATGGCCACTCCAAAGCTCAGTGTGCTCGTGGTTGTCGTCTGGGTGACAATATCGGAGTAGATTATTGATTCTCCAGTTGACAGTTTGGAACATTTTATGTCCCCACGTTTACTTTCGCTTTCATCGAGAGAAGACACATCGGCCAATTGGCTTCCCGAAGTCAGGCTTTCACCAACTGGCGTCATTTCGCCTCTCCAATTCCAGTGAGGAGAAATTTTGTTATTATTTTTTATATTTCGTTTGTGCTTTGAAGTTTCTTCAGCAGTTATATTTGTTTTACGGGGTAGGGTTGCTAGCCCTATGCCCAACCTTCCCTCTTTATGGGGGCTCAGTCCTGTTATGTGAAGACGCTGACAAGATGCAGAGTCTTCTGAACATTGAGTAGGAATTTGAGAATGTTTGGGATGCGTTTCTCACTACGCGAATGCAAATAGTTACTCCATATTTGTTCTCCAACTTAGTCTCACAGCTACGTATAAAAAGTGTAGTGATTGAGTGTGTCCACGAATCTACTCACCTGCGAAGTATGATCAGCCCTATTGCTTTGGTCAGTGGGCGAAGACGTCTCTGCACGCATACAAAAGGCTCGGTTGACTAACTTTTACCAACTTACGCCACCTATGACACCGCCGTGATATCCGATTGTCGATTAAGGGTCGCGTGTACTGCACCTGCACATCACTTCGCTCTCTTCTACTCTAGGGCTGAGAAACATGTATATTCAAGGTGGAAGAAATGAGGAGGTTTCAAGTGTTTGACCACCATTGTCCTCGTA